TTGCCAGTAAGCCTTAGCTCTGTGGAAATCATAGCCAGTTTTGCCAGTCATATTCCTGGATTTGCCAGGGCAAAGAATTATTTGCTGTGGAAGTAAAATGTCAGCAAGATTATAAGGATTGAGCAAGAGAGTGTATACTTAGCACAATAAATCCTCACGCAGCCATTTCACTTGCATTACAAAGATGTATCCTCTCAACGTCCATCTGCAAAAGTTCAGATAAATATACCTGTTGACAGAAGCAAATCCATTAAAATCAGGAGATTGGGACCACAGAAAAATTGCCATGACTGGGGTAACAATCAGGTCCTGTCCATCTTTTTGTCTGGTTCTCTCCACATGTCTTTCAAATGCTCAGTCTTTTTTGCATAGAATAAATAAGGTGCTGCTAGCCCCATTTCCAAACCAGCATAACTAAGAGAGCGATAAAAGCTGCAGGTTAAGGAGAAAGTTGGTTGGAACTGACAATAGTAATTAGGCCTCCAGGCTCATGGCTCTCTTTTTCTATTACAGGAAAAAGGCCGGTATCTCAGTTTTAATTTGGATCCTAAGTGCTGAAGTAAATAAGCTCAAAGCTCCAGTTTTAACATATTATGCCATTGCTGCAACTGGGCTCCAGCTGCCAGCGCTTGGCTACTGCCGTACCTGTAAGGAGGAGAGCAGCTTGCTGCTCTCAGCAGAAAGATGATGAGGACAACTAAAACTATCCAGTCCTGCCTGCCTTCAGCTATTGTCCAAGACTCCTGCCAGAAAAACCTGGCAGGACCATTGCAAGTTAACAGTGGTATAATCAGGCTTAAGTAAATACATGCCCTTCTCCACAGGAGTTTTTCAAGAGGAAATGTCTTTGGCCAGATTAGCCTCTGGCTACTTCTCTTTCCTTGCATCAGGCAGGTGCTGAATACTGTGGCAGCTCCCTGGAGAGGTGTCAGCACCACAGTGCAAATCAGCTGCCTATTAGCACGGTTTTTACCGCTTGGCTCTGTAGTCCATGCCCTGCCATCGACAGAAGTCATCCACATGGGCGTGTGCAACAAGAAAAGAAAAGTGTTTTTTTGTTTATTTTTGATAACGCTAAGAGAGAGTAATCGGATATTTTGTGGACAAAGAAATATTAGTGTAAACCTGATGAACTCTCGTGTAATAAAACTCTTTCTAGGGAAGGATGGTACTTTGAATATATTTTCATAATGGGTTCCTTTTCTGACATTCTTTCAGCCTTTTTCACACTTGCAGTTGGAATCTCTGAACTGATTTCATACAACCTCATAGTTCTCTAGATGAAAACCATTTAAATGGCATCAAACAATGCTGTTTTATTTTTCCTGAGTTATATCTTAGAAGGAAATAAAGTTCTTTCATGATGAGAGTGTGATTCTATTTCTCATAAGGGATGTTTCACTTCAGATAATCAGTTTCACTTGTTCACAGAAAAACAAAAATTTTAACATTGGTGTTATGGTTTGTCTATACCTAATATCCTAGAACTGAAAGAAAATGTGTTTCTAAGAACATACAGAAATTTAAGATCTGATGTGTATTTCATTGGATTCAATATGCCAAAATTTTAAAATTCAAGATGTATCTCATCTCAAGAGCTCGTCTCAGCCTTTACTGATATATTTTCTCTCAAGTTCTCAGTTGAGTGAAAACATTGAGATTGAAGCTCTGCCTGAGCATGCTGAAGTTTTTCAAAATAGTCCCTCAGTCTGGTGCTGTCTGTGAGAATGAAGCAATCAGGGATCTGATTATATCTCTCTGATTCAGCCCCAGTGGCAGTGGCATGGGGGCAGTCTGTACTGTTTGTCATTACTGTCAGATTTGAGGGATGAGAGCTATGTACCTAATCCCCCCTGTCTCGGCATGCCTCTGCACCAGTACTGGAAGGAAGGGAGAGCTGCATGACGTCAGCTTTGACTGTTGAGCCTTTCTAGACAGGGGGTCCATCTCACAAGTCCGCTAACTCTCCCAACACCGTTTTCTGTCAGTTCCACCCAAGCAAACAGCTTGCGCAATTGTCAAAAAGCTGGAACACCGTCCCCGAAACAAAGGCAGACTTTCTGATTTGTCCCAAAACCCTTGATTTTAAGATTTTTTTTAAGTATAGGGAAGTGCAGTGGCTATGATTCCACGATATAGTAAACTACGCACTTTAAACTACATCTTAGTCCATTTATGACAGCAAATAATACAATTGAACTTGCGTAGTCTACTCTTCATTTTCACACATGACTGTGTACTCAGCAGTGAAGTGTTTTTTGGTATCTGCATCATCAGACCACTGCCGTGTTATCTGAAGACCTCCACAAATCTGCAATGGAGAGCAGTCATTTAAAAATATACATGTACATGATGTGTCACACTTACTATGACAGCAAATGCGCATGGATGATCAAGAGAAACCACCACAGCACAGCAATGACAAGCGTGTGAGAGTCTCACAGCCTGTGCATTGCAATAGTTTTAAGATTTTTCTTCCTGAACCTCCTAGGTGTATTTCCTGGGGAAGGGAGAAAGGAGCTCAGGGGCTGGCAACATGACCTGGAGGCTGGAGCTTAGTGGTGTTCATTAAATGCAGATCACCAGGAGCAGGAGGCCTTAGGGACGTATGGCAAAGGAGCAGTCTTCTTCACTCCATCATCCCAGCCCCCTCTGTGAGAGTGCACTAACTCGTGCTGGGGATATAGGCCTGGCATCATTCTGCATTCATTCATATTCACTCATATTCACTCTCTAGGATTCCTGACAGGCCCATTCCATTGAATACTTCCAAATAGACTCTGTGTGTATTTTAGGGATTGGCATAGGCCAGGAGATTATTTTCAATAGACTGCCTGGACGTTTTGCAGGGGCAGAGAGTTAAGCAATGTGGATATGAGCTGTGACAAGCCAGTTGACCTCAGGCCTAGAGAATGAGCCTTGAAGCACTTTATTTACTTGCACAGATATAAGTTCTCTGAGTATAATAGAGCTCAGCATTGGTTTAACCCCTCTAGCTATTCACACCCTGTCTCTTCTTCCTATTGGAGTGTTAAGATGGATGCCTCTTGATGCGACAATGATCATAATTGTAAAGCAATGCAGTATCATCTTTTGGGTGTCTGGATGATTAAAATATGCCTCAGTTCTGATTTAGCCTCTGTTTCTCCATAGGATGCTCTTGGAGAGTTTGAAACTCTAGAAGAGATTCAAAAAAACCAACACAAAGTGGGTGGACATCATCAGCTGTTAATGCTGGCAGCAAAAGTTTTGACTTTTAAAGGAAGGACTTACAGCTTATCTGAAAAGAGAGTGATTCCTGGGAACTGTGGTGCCTCCTCTTTTCCTAGGAGCTCTGTCAATGTCACAAAACAGCATTGCTTCAGCCACCACTTCACTCAACAGTGCAGTTTGGAGAGTATTCATTAGGTTTCAAAAAACCTGTACAAACCATTCTCTCCAGGGAAAGGCAGATTGGGCTTCCATCTCAGGAAAATATCATTACTAGCACTCCAGGTCCAAGCTCTTTAACATTAAAATGCAATAGCAGATCTTCCTTCACAGTATCAGCCTGATCTATGTGAATTTTAGGATTTTAGGATCTGAGCATGTTTCATGTATCCAAGGCAAATGATCTAACTTCAGAGATTTGTGTGAGAGGGTAATAATTTCTTTGGACAGGTCAGGCTCTACAGAGTAGCTTGTCCCCAGTTACTAAGTACTCTATTATAACCTTCTTGACCCTATAAACTCAGATTCCTGATTCTAAAAGTTAAGTTCCTGGTCATGCAACATTCTGTTTTGAAATAAAGTGAATGACATACAACACTGAAAAGGGTCAGCTTTCTTTCTTTTCTTTCTTTTTTTTTTTTTTTTGGCCTAGTCTATGCTACTCGTATAGAGAATCTCTCTGGTATAAGCATGTCCAAGTTATAACGTCCTCCTCTGCCTTAGAAGGGAATGTGACACTACTGAAATTGACTGGTGTAATAACTGGGTCAGGAGTAATTCTGTTGAACCCAAAGGACAGAAGAGAGAAGAAATGAGACAGGCACCACACTCGGAGTTGCTGTATTCCTGTGAGTAGACATCTGCTTTACTTGCTGCTCCAGGTCCTCATAGATGCTTGTGGTTAGATTTTGGTACCACCCTGGATCACCCCGGATCCATGAGACTGGATCAGAACAGTCAAAATTGGCACAAACATCCTCAGAGTGCAGGGACAATCATCTTCTCATGGAAATACAGCATGAACTTTCTCCTTCACTGATGTCCAGCTGGAAGAGACACTGGAGCTATCTCTGAGTGGACTGCATTTGTACTTTTAGCTGTAATATATATTACTTAAAATGTTTTCACATGCCTTTTTCAGGATGGATATTTACCTTGTTTTTCAAAGATAGCATGCATTGGCCACTAAAAGCCTGATTTCTAAGTCCATCTATAATTCACTAATAGGCATAGCTCAAAGGTTACTTTCTAGTGAAGGGGGGAAGAAAAACAGAGTTTTCAAGAATGATTGCATACTTACCTCAATTCTTCAGAACTAGAAAACTGTTAGTAACTGCTTTGAAATAATTTTAATCACATAGAAATATAACTGCATGAAGAACGCATTTTTTTTTTCAACAAAAATGGTCATTTTTCAGTAGGGTTTACAATTTTTCCCATGAAGAGGATGCTATGAGTATATTGATCAATAATCAACAGCAAAAATGGACGGTCGAATTTAACAACAGGAGGAACAGAATGAGGAACTAGTTCTGTGTAAGTGCCTCCTGAAGCTTCTGTGCCATTCTCGTGGATATTCAACAGGGCTTTGTGAGCAGCCTGCAATAAAATACAAGTATTATTGCATGTAAGGTAAGACTAGAGAGAGAAATTAAAATTAGCATTAAATTAGTTCAACTATCACTTTTCACAAAAGTTGCTGATTGCTAGGCTATTGATCATGAAGAAAGCCACTAGAGCCCATGTTGGGTTTGATAGCAATGTGATCTCTATAAGCAAGTCTTCTCCCATCCATTGCTCACTGTCAGTGTATCTAACAGAACCCACTGACTGCACATCTTGTGGCATTAATTGAAAATAGAACATTCAAGTAAAATCAAAAGAATGACAATTTCAGAGGGAAAGGAAGTTCGAATCCAGGACCATTCTGCATGCATCCCTAATAGCACATACATCACAAATTTAATCTCTATGCTATAATTTTAAAAATTATTGTAGATTATTTCTTCTTAATCATTTTATTTTACTGCCCCAAAATTGCTAAAACATGGCAAGTGCTACTTTCACAATAGCTGTAAGAAGGTAAATGTTTATCTCAACATCATCTCCTATTTCCAGGAAATGATTCTTTCCCCAGTCTTGCCCATTTTACAAGTAAGTGTCTTTAACAACAGCAGAATTTTTAAAATACTTTAGAATTATAGAATATGCATGATATAAAAACGATCACTTTCTCTACTAAATACCCTGATGTGAAGCATTCCCAGCACAGATATGGAAACTCTTGACATGGAGAAACTGGTCTATGTTTAGTTCCCAGGACAAATGATATTCCCCTACCAACCTGTGTCACATCTCAGCTGGGCAGAAAGAAGATAGTAGTAAAAATACTTTTACATTTCATCTTAGCCCTAGATTTTGGACAGATCAGAGAATTTGAGGCTACTGCTTTATTAGCTGAATGTTCTAGCTCAGTGAATAGGAAACAGCTCCAAAAAGCAGAAAAAATTCCAAGCAGAGGCTAGGAAAGGCAATTGGCACTGAGGAATCCACAGGTCATTATTTCTGTTGATAAGCTTACTTTTGAAACCTTTATATCTGGCTCTCCCGTGATTCCGGATAGATCAGCATGGTCGGAAAATACATCAGTTACACCCAGGTTCATGAACATCTTCTTTAAGTCATAGGTGCCATAAATAGATAGTTTTGGAATGTGTACTTCTATCCTCCTGTTAAATTCAGAAGAAAATGATGATAGGTATTGCAATCGATCTGAATCTTGGACTAAAATCTCCTAGCTGGCTGATTGTTATTCTGTCATTTCTCCCCATCACCCCAAAAAAACACCCCCAAAACATCTTCAATTCTGGAAGAGAGGGGAACAAACAGATGGAAGAGGGAAAAAGCTGAGTTTTGTTATACAATACTGCAACAGTCACTCTATTGGTCAGAAAGCAGATGTCATGCCATCGCCTTTGGGATACATTTGAGTTCACTTCCTAGCTCCAGATGGTTTTGTTTTGGATTTCACACTCTATTCCTGCTCAAGAATCTGGTTGCTGCATCACAGTATTACCACGTATGACACATTGTACCTGAGATAGGAAGCTAGAGACACTTAAGATCAATTATAAACTACATGGGAAAAGAAACTCAGTTTCTAAGCACACAGGTCTCCTCTCTCATCACAAGACAATATTGATTCCACTTCTTGCTGGAAGTAGATAGCATGAAATTACTTGGTTTATTCTTTCATACCCATTTCAGCACTTAAATCTCCAGTCAACAGCAAAAACAATAAGAAGAGCAAGACTTCAAAATATGGTCATCTGATCATATATTGAGATATAACCCAATGGGAAGCATCAAATTAGAATTCTGTATTTACCGTCTTTCAAGTGATTTTTCCCATTTAGACACAGTGTCTTTTGCAAGAGCATCCTCCAATCGTTTCATTTTTCCTCTGCTGGGCAGGACAAATAATGTCATCGCATCTCCTGTATAAGGAATCTGCACCACCTCACAAGAGAGCTTTCTGTCAAAGTAGCTTTTATAAAACCCATCTCGATGCATCATCTCCACTTCGACTGAAGTCTTCTCATTCACATAGAAATGATCCTTACGTGTCCCCTTAATATTGAAAGGATTTTCCCAGTAAGCTTAAAACCAAAAGAGAGAATGCAATTTAATGCTTAAAAGAGGATGTGTTAGTACACTTGAGGCTGATTTACACATACACACAAAAATCTATGGATTTGTACTCATACTTGGAAATCAAAGATATTCAAAATTTGTTAAATATCTTGTTCCCTGTCATCTTCATTGCAATATTTCCAGTAACAACCAAGTATTCTACAGTAAACATGACATGGACTTGTACAATGTCTTTGTAAGGCAGATGAATTAAATTGAGTCGGTTTATCCTATTACCTCAAGTCTGATTTGAAGGATAGAAAAGCTGATCAGGAACAAGACAGCTATTTTCTGGTTTGAGAGTATTGCTGGTTCTCCAACAGATAACTGTTTTATAATAGGTCTTCTGTTAAGTTTCTTTCATGTTTTTTTCATGTTATTCATCGTGTATATGTTGTAGTATACTAAAGAAAAACTCCCATGCAAGAACAACCAAAATTTTTGTCCTGATTGTAGCTCCCTTACTATGAAAGGAACAGGGCTTTGATCTTCCAAACGGGTTTCTCTTAATATTTATCCAACTGAATATTTTGATGTTTTATTTGTGATAAATTGGGTCATTCACTGAACAAATACACACACTCCACAGTTTGACAAGTTGTAAAAGTCCATTCTCTAGTTTTTTGACTATTCAGTAGAAATAATAATAATGAAAAAAACAGAAATAATAAACGATGGCATGTAAAATCAACTTTGATGACTTTCTAAATTTGAGTTTACTTTTTACCCACCAGGTAAAAAAATATACTCTAATATGATAAAGGCAGAGACCCAAATTTCATAGAGGGTGTGAAATAAAAAACACTCTGCTGAACGTTTTTCAATTTGCAAACTTTCATTTCTGGGTGATAAATTCCATTTACATCCTGCGTGCTGCTACAAATAGATATAACGTTTGAGAGTAAAATAATCATTACCAAAACAGGTACATTCCCAAGCGCTTCTTGGGAGAACATTGTAGAATCTAACTCCATTGGTATCCAACCATTTAATGGGCATCTAAAGAGATTAAGGTGTTCGGTATTTTTTTTATAATTTGTACTTTTGAAATATATTTTTCTAATTCATACAGCATATAAAATTATTTCAGCATAAGTTTTGAAGGAGTAAGTAGGAAAACCTTGATAGGGTAATTTACAAATATATGTCTGTTGTGGTCTGGCAATTTCACAAAGTTTAGATATTGCAAATATATGAACTTTTAGGTCTATCAAACATATCCTAGAAATATGGAAGATGTCTGAGCATGAGAACTTTCAATGGTTCTCGTCATAAAGTATAATCTGCTGGCATTTCTTTCAAGAAAAATTCAGACATAATTAGGAATATTTTTGTTTTGGTCCAGGCCAGATTAAGATATTGTAGTAGATAACATCTATATAATGTAACTTACCTTTGAAGTAAATATAGTTAACAAGAACCATTAAAGTATCTGGAGCAAGGTTTTTGACTATTCGGTTTATCTTCCCATGGGTTTTGTTCCTTACATAGTCATTGATCTCATTTTTAGCTTCAGTGGAATTCTGAAAGTTACTAGAAATAACTTCTGCCTTATACATGTTTTTGCTGTCCTTCAAAAACGTTTTCAGCGGTGTGACATTCTCATCCATGAACAGGGCATTCCCCATACTCAGCTGCATCTGGCTGTCAGGGCGGTTCAGCTCGAGAAGGAGATGACGAAAGCCACGGTGTATCTCCTCCTCCTGGATCTCGGTGAGGTTAAAGGCAAGCCCTTCCAGCACCTGTGCCTGGGTGCTAGACCTGGAGCCCAGCGCCAGCAGGGCAAAGCCAACAGAGATGCTGACCGGAGAGAAGAAAATATTCTTGTCGGGGTCCTCTGCACTTGCTTGCCTGTAAAACCTGAAAGCAAAGTCAGTGTTGCTGGGGACTATCCGACGGCAGGATCCACCAGGATCTTCCCCGCAGGGACGCTGCTCCTGAGGGTGAGTTTCCTTGGACTTGCCATTATAGTGGCTGGCCTGGGGCAGGCTGTGGACAGCGGGGTGAAGTGCAGCCACCAGCAAATACAGCGGGAGGGTGGTCTTCATCTCCTTGTGCAGGTACTGCATGAAAAGGAACGAAACAGTCATAGTTCTGTCAACATTTCATCTTTTATTTCTATCCATTTCTAGATTCAACATCTATGTGATAATCACTGTTCTCTCTTGACCATCTCCATCGTTATGGAAGCATTTTGAAATCCTTCTGCTTCTGTGTTTATGTATAATTGCTATCCATTTTAGTTCTGCCTTCCTCCAGCTATAGAAGTCCCTCGCTAATGGATGTTTATGAAGAGAGAGGCAAGTGAGTATTAAAGAAAAATATGACTTATTAAGTGTCAAAGGAAAGGAATAAATAAATGAGACAAACTGCTTTTGATTTCAGCGTAAATCCCTTTTATGGTGAGACAGCACATCAGGAGAAATTTTTAATTCTCTTATGTTTACCTTTAAGAACTCTGACAGTTATTATGCCATTAGTGATTAAATGACGCTTGTGTCAAATGACATAGCTCTGTCAATGGAAAACAATTAATATGATACTGCAGCACTCAAACATACTGTTTTTCTCTCATTCCTGACTCATTTTAGCATAAAAAGTGAGTAATCACAAGGGAGACAGTAACATTTTCCTTCTTCAGTACCTGTTCTTATTAGATCAGAATATGTTGATTTATTTTAAACAACTTCCTAAGCTGATGAATATTTTCCAAATGGCGTTGTCTCCATTTGTGCCCACCATTTCCTCTAGGAATAGGAGGGTGAGATTATTGATGTGGTGTCAGCCCCTCCTATCTCTCCAAATTTTGCATTAGCAGGAAGGAAATTTCATAAGGGAGAAGCATTCACCAAAGAGCCTGAATTACAGCATCTTGACCATTTCTGCTAAGTATGGGCATTCTTCATTTATCGCTTTCCTTTTTTTTTACCCACTAGTAAGAATTCATAGGGATAAATGGTAGTATCTAGAAAGTCCATCTTGTCAGAAAACAGATAACAGCTATGCCAATTGGAAATCTTACTAGTGAATAGAAACGCAATGTAAAAGTCTTCGTCATGCTATTTAAAGTGGAACAGCTTCAAGGAAGAAGATCAAATGAGTTATCAACTCAAGCCCTACAGCTGACTGGTAAGGACACAGACATGGCTCAGGGGATGATATTTTAATTGGAATGCCCCCTACACTTTTTCAGCACACTAGCCACTAAGACTTGGCCTGACTTCCATCAGGGAAACTTTGCTCTGTGAAATGCAAGCAGTTCAGGATCTACAGGGAGATTGGTGTAGCAAAAACCAGCTTTACTAATGCCGTCAGGACCATGCTGGCATAAATAAGGCATCCTATTGCTGTCAGAGTGTTGGCAGCCTGGTTGTAATGGGCAGGTCAGCTCTAAGGAATCTCAGTAAAGATGACAGATTGAGAAGTCAGAATTTTTTCCCTCCTTTAATGAACAGGTTTATTTTGAGGTGAATGATCTATTTAGGATAAATGTTCTGAGCAAAGTCATATTCTGGAGAGCTGCCATAGCATATCTCCACAATTTTCTAGTCAATATTCCTTGAAATTAAGTTCTACTGTCACCTGAATCATAGAGACCAGGTCTCACCCTTCAATGTAGTTGTGCTTCATGGCTCACTAACTAATTACCATACAGCTACATCAAAATTGTTAAGGTAAAGGTAACATGGTACTTACATTACATTCAGAAGCGTCCTGCTGTCATATGAGCTGTGCTGTTTCTTGCTTCTTTACTCATACTACTATATTCTTCTGTTAAACATTACATGCCTTCAAATACAGATTATCTAGAAGGACACAACTGAATGCTGATGAGGCGAATTTTCTTGGGCATCAAATTCATGTGTTCACAACAGTCTACTGAGAGCAAAGACCACGGGGCTGAGTTGATCTGTAGCTGGGTCTGTGAATCTGTGTCCCTAAGGGTATGCAACTCCTGTTAAACAAATATTTATTAGCAACAAGGCATTGTGCCAAGACTAGTCACTTTGTCCTATACACTACCTGAGGACAAAGATTAACATCCAGGCAAAGCCATACAGTTTCACCTGGCAGTAGCTTGCAATGACCAAGCTGAACGGGCAGCCCAAGCAAGGGATCTGGGGGGAGCACAATCCGAGATTAGCCAAGCGTCCAGCTTCCTGGGCTCAGCTCCAAAGAGACTTTGTCCATCTGGTCAGAGGTATACCAGCAGAGCTGATAATCCCACAGCACACAGTCTTACACTGAGACCGCAAGCCCAGTCCTCCCCTTTGCACCAGATACAGAAATTCCAGAGGAGGGACATGAGGAATGGCACTAAAACTATTGGCAGAGCTAATGGGTGTCTCCCTTGGAAAGCATTGTCCTTGTTATCCTGCCTTGTTGCATGCATCCAGCAATTGAAATCATTTAAAACAAAAGAAATATCCTAATGGCATTGGGATTATTACTTCTTTTACACTAGATTTCTAACAAACAGCAAAGTCTAGCTGATGAGAAAGAATAACAACCAGCTCCATGCAATGATGGTGAGGACTGTATAGTATTCTTTTTTGCTTCTCTATCCTGGATCAAGTTTGTATGATCAGAGAGATCAACATATCTATAAAAAAAAAACTCTTTAGAATTTCATTTATTTCCTAAATGGGACCACAAATGTACTGAAATTAAATAAACATTTTAGAAAAACTGTCTTGAATTAATACATTAAGTGAGCAGAACCTTGTGGTATCACTTATTGAGTTAATAAATCTACACCGAAACTTAACTACATAGGAATATCTCAGGCTTCTAATTCCAGCTATTGCAGTGCATTAAGAATCTAACTTTCTTTCCTATTGGCTGAAGGCATTTTGTATATCACATGGTTTTTCTCTGACAAGTTCATTAAAATCTCTAAAGTTCTTAGTGATGCTTCAAATGGACTTTATTCATTAATTCTCTTCTTGTCTCCCTGCTTTCCAAGGAAAAATACAATTTGGTTGATTCCTAGGCATGTTGGTTTAAGCATCCTTTCTCACTTGGAGGTCAACAGTCATCTCCTTGTTGACATAAAGGGTCATATACAGTACCTTAATACTGGATTTAACTTTATTTACAGAGGTAATGCTGACCCCTTTAGTACAGTTATGTTCACTAGGTTATCTTTATGAAAAGTAAATCTCAGCATCACAGCTTGTTACATTACGGTCTTCCACTTTTCATCTGTAATATATTGATTCACACTTCTTTTGTGTACAAGTCATACTCGACATGCACTCATTGCCTGACGCATTTGTGAAAACAATATTTACAGCATGTTCCCTCCGATAGATACAGCTCTTGTTTCCCAAAGATAGTGTATTTTTGGTGAGCCACAAAAAGCCTGATTAACCACCCAGCTGCTGCTGGAACTAATATGCATTTCTCAAGATGCATTTTCATCAAGGGATGAAAAATACCAGAAATAGAGATTAAGAATGATCATATTCTTACTTTATTACTCTAGAGCAGTGCTGTATTTGTAGCTTAGACAAAATTTATAACAATATGGAATTCAAACAGCAAGCAAGGCAAACTCAGTAAGAACAGCACAAAACTTAATATGAGCTAATTATTTTCTGAAACAGTGAGAACTTGAAATTGGGATGAAAGGGAGTTGGAAAAAAAGACTTTATAAGTCTATGTTTATGCACCAAAACAAAAGTGTCTTAATAATCTGCTCTCCATGCCTGTATGTGGCAGATACCTGAAAGAAATATCAATGCTTCTTATCTTTCCAGCCAAGTCAATTTTGTATCCATCTCCTTGTCATGGTTTAAAGAAGCGTGATTTAAAAATCCAGCTTTGAAAATGACAGCTATGTTACTGGAAAGTTTATCTATCAGTAAGTCTTACTACAACTAAATATCTCTTCTTTAACTTGCTCTTTTAGTGGTGGTAATAATTTGCTGAAAAGAGACTTTTTTACAGCAACTGCAGTGGCTCTTCAATGAGCCGTGCCTAACAAAGTAATAACATTTTATTAGCCCAATCTAGTCTGACAGGTTGCTGCTGGCACGGTTTATGTTAGTACAGCTGGTGAATGTCATGTGTGTATGCATATGAAATAAAGATCTCTCCTTGCAAGTTTGCCTTATTTTCCAAGGATTATGTGGTAGAATCTTTGTTTTTATGCTGTTTTGTCATGCAATTCCTCCTCTCTTCCCCTCATCCCCTATTTTAAAGAACAAGATCCAGTTAATGAGAATAGCATGTTTTTCTTTGAGTTTAGATAGAGGCTATTTGCAAGCTTAGCATTGGCAATGCCTATACCAAATTCATATTCTAGTTGCTTGGGGACATCAAAGTTCATACAATCCAAGAAACCACAAACAATATGGCCAAGCCCATTATATCTCCAGCATAGATCACTGTGTTAGAGTACAAAAGCCTTATGTGCAGCACAGAGCAAACTTCCAAAGGCACAGAGATAGACACAGGTTTAAATTTATAGCATATATATTTATACTGTGTTGCACTGGAATTTTCAAATTCTGAGCGAAGATTTCCCATTTTTTTCCACTCTGAGTTAGTTTTGAAGCAGTGGCCCCTGTTGTGCCAGTCTCATGCACATGTGCCTGCTGCATCAGGGAACATGGCAATGGAGAGATCTCCTGCTCTTCTGCAAAGGAGGGAGGGAAAAGACAGATATGACCTATCAGGCCACTTGCAAGTAGACCTCTGATGCGCACCAAGGAACAACAGCTCCAGAGGCCCAGTTAGGGAAACCCAGTGAAGTCTCTTGACGCCATCAGAAACTTCCTGCTCCTCTTGATTGTTTCGTAGTGTGGAAAGAAACAGCAGATTCTCCAGAAATTCAAAATTCCAACTTGAATTGCGTGGGGATGTCATTTAGGGTTCAGTCAAAGTGTATGGAATTTGGGGACATCTTTATGATCAAGAGAAGAAAGACATGTCAAGGTACAAATCCTATAACATGAATTTATTGCTATTTTCTCCCTGGATAAGATACTATGGAGAATTTAATCTACAACCACAACCAGCTACTACATCTGAATAGTGAGAGGACAAGAATAAAACCTGCATTCACAGTACTGGCTAGTGCAGCTTCTTTGTGTTTCAAATTAAAATTCATCAGGGTTAACGAACATCCTCAAAAAAAGAAGACAAATTTCATAGGAACTGTTGGTGGTGTGAAGGGAGATTCCTGATGGAGTGACTCTCTGGAGCAAATGCATGGAAGGAAATCCAGTCTCAGGCTAGGAAACAGACCCAGTGGAAAGTACGAAAAAGAGAAGCTAGTTTCTGGAATGCCGGAAAGGATTTAGGTAGAAAAGGAAAAAAAGACAATGAACTCCCATGTTCCTACAATGGCATACCTGTATCCATTCATTAATAAAAAGTTTACTCAATCTGTGCAGTTTTATTCTCCAAAGTTATCTTGCGGGTTCATTCAAATCGATTAATATGTCAGAGAAAGACTAAAGTCAGACACAAAGACATGATATTTGTGGAACTATTTCCCTCTATATAGCTTCTCTTACTTTTAAAGAAAATACAGTTTGCAAAATCCGCAGATTTTGTCCTTGTGCAGTAGAATAATAGTGTCATAATTTAAGATGGAAGACAACCTCTTCAAGGTCCTCTAGTTCAATGAAAGCAGTCCAACCTAGATAAGGTTGCAGAGGGACATTGCTCCAAGGATGGGGGCTTCACAGCCCCTTCAAGCAATTGACCCCTGTAATGGTAGATTTTTTTTCCCTAATTTGAATTTCCTATGTTTGAACTATGCACTAATCTGCTTTTCAATATCAAGCAGTAACTGAAGGAAAAACTTTGAGACCTCCTGTTCTTTGGTCTCTGCGTCTGAAGCTGACTCTTTGGTCTGTGACCTGACTCTTCTCAGCTGCTTTGGGCCCAGGGAGATCATTGCAAAGGCAATAGAGAGGGCCAGAGGAGAGAAGAAAATGTTCTTTTCAGCACCTGCCTCTGCCATGACCTGCTTCTAAAAATCTAATGCAAAGTCAATGTTGCTGAGGACTACCTTGAGATGAGCCAATTTTCAATTACTTTGTTACTTTCCAGGGAGATGTTTAAACAATTTACAGCTCCCCAGCTGAACTAATCACTGTTGACCAGTCAGTATGTGGAGGGAAAACACATAGTGGACTTTTGTTGGCTTGGCTGCCATTTATGATGTCAAAGAGGAAAGAAACTGACATCTTGGTAAGAATTCATAATGAAAATTACCCCTCTCTCCATACAATGTCATCAATATTTTGTTATAGAGGTTAACTTTATGCTAGTTCAGATCTATGGCTGAGCTCAAAGCCCAGCAAGCAAACTGAGAAAAAAGGGACATAATTGATGCCTTTGAAGTAGTTTCTAAAGAAAGAGTGGAACACCCATTAAATCCACACAGTGCCAAAAATAATTCCTCATTTTTGCCCACAGAAACGATATACAAGGCTTAAATCTCAGTGGTTAGCTCGATGTTGCCAAACTCCATGAATACAGAAGTGTTTAGAGAGGCTGTTTTCCCCTTAAACTTCTCTTGACCTTTCAGCATTGCACCCCTCTTCCAAATTCCATCTCCATCCAAAGCATACATATCACATCCAACTGGAGTGTTTTGGAAAGAAAACAGGGCTGGAATTCTTGGGGGATCATAGGAAGAACCATGATGGGGATCAATGTCAGTTAAAAAAAAAAAAAAAATGGAAGGAT